CCGCAAAATGAAGTGAGTGAGAAGGAAGCTCATGGGATAAACAAACCGCTAACAGAATCATGGTAGCTCACAGGACTTTGAGCTATTAGTGTTTTGCAATGGCATGATTGTGATAGCATCCCCAACGGCTATATAAACACGCACTTAGCACACTTTCGGTCATTCGACAAGGTGATGCTGTGGTAGCCGGCGAGCAGAGGGGAACGAGGGGAGAGAGGAGGGAGAAGGGAAAGCTTACGCAAGGTAGGGAGGTTCCGGCGCTTGCCGGGGGACCAATCTGGTATAACAGGAGAATGTGAGAGTATGAAATATTTTGTTCCGACAATTATGTATACCTTTTCCCTTACAGACCTCCCACTATAAAGCTTCTGGAATATGCTGGAGAAGCGATATTTGGATAGAGAATTGGAAATGTGCAAATTAAACCAGGTTCGGTAGCAACGAGGCTACCTCCAATAAAACCGGGTACCCGAAACGTGTGGGCGGGGGAGGGGGCTATTGGTGATTGTGTATCTGCATGTATATGAAACCACTCGCTCGGGCAAAACTGATCAGGAACGAAAAATGAAAATAAGGATAAGATTCACAGGTGCGATTATAACTGCCGCCTTTCAGCAGACAACGAATAAAACAACGTCACTGATTAGCACAGCAACGAATGCGTTACCATGCCGATAAAAAGTGACACTCGTGCGAAAAATCAGCGTGTTCTCTAGACTCGACCGCAGACTGAAACCACAAGAGCGAAAATAGCGAGCTGCAGCTTGGATAATTACTTCGAAAGCAGTAAAAAATCTATTCGCCATCGAATTTTCGAAAAAAAAACAAGAAAATAGAACTACTCACGACAGAAATGTATCGTATCAGATATCTGATGTGTGCACGAAATTGTTAAGATATTATTTTCAATGCTATTTGGAACACACCTAAGTTTAGTTACGTAATTTGCAAGACAAAAAAACAATAATGAGGGGACATTTTTGAAAATGAATACTAAAGGACTGACAGTAAGGCTTGAGAAGAGACCAGATGGGGAAATACATCAACCTACCTCGATTTGAAAAAAAAAAAACGCGGTGCGAAAAATGAAGAAGAAAGGTAACATAAAGCGAACACGTTCCTCACCGATAAAGACAACAAGTTTGGAGTATAAGAAGGATGAGAAATTACACGGAAAAAAGCTTCTTGATCAGTGCTGGAGAATGTCGGTAAAACAGGCAATTCAACTGCAAGTGCTTCTTCGGAAGATACCACAAGCAAATACAAATTCTAGAACCGCAAAAACACTGGATAGCTTTCATTAGACTCTCCACCCACTCGATTTGGGCTCGAAACTACCCAAGCTATGTTCATTAGTGGAGAGATTGCGCCCATGGCTGATAGATAGGAGTCAGTTTGAAGGCGTCATATGTCTAGAGCGTTGAGAGACGGATTCAGCGCACCCTTCAGCGCACGGGAAGGTGTGCTTAGTCTAAATCCAACACTCACCAATGGGGCTGACAAACAACTCCGTGTCCAAATGCAGCTGCTACTTCTCAGCTTCAGCAGTGTCACAAAAATAAATCAGAAGATTTCAGTAGCCTAAGGCTGCCTAAGCAAGCTTAAAACGGATTGTGGCCATGAAACATCTCGCGCCTACTCCAAGCTCCAAAATACTCGTAGAATCTGCGTGAATCCCCAAAACGTCAATTCTGAGTACAGAAGGCAAAACAAAACGATCGCTATGTAGTTTAGTTGAGAGTGATCTTTTGGTCAGTCACACAATAGAAATTTAACGATAGCTGGAGCCATTAGCATGAATGCGCCAATCTCCAGAAAAGAGTGAGAACTAATGTTTACTCTAATGAACGCACGAGTCATAAAAATCTCGCAATAGCGATTGACTTAATGAAAAGGCATCGATAAAAAAGTTAATGTGAGAAGAACCTATACTTACCTTCACTAAAAGACCTAGAATGGGCCAAAGGCGAGACATGTCAGCATCAGGTGGCGGGATGTGGTTGACAAGAAAGCGTTTCCGACGTGGCATGCCGCTCCTCGTCTGGAAATATGAATTATCCGCTTGAGCGACTTACAAGCATAGTGACACTGGACAGCTACTCCAAAGATACACGAAGTGTAGGTTTAAGGGATCGGAGGTTATGACTGAAAAAGCTTTTCACATTTGCTTGAGGTGGAATAGCGTCCCTTGATTCCATTTCGCAGTGTCTATAAGAACGGTCTAGACTTTAACGTGCCAGGAAAGTGGCTAAGAGGACGCTCGACGTAACGATAGCTCGATACGTTGCATGAAGACATGAAATTAATTCGCCTTCATCCCGATCAGGCTCACAATCGGGAAAAGTGGCGTCAACAAACCAGGGCAGCGGATCTCGCTAACGTTAAAAAATAAGAAGAAATAGCGTTTCTTGAAGTAACAACCCCAGTTCAAGTTGGTGGGGTAGCAGCGATCCATAAAGATGCGGTGGAAAGGACATTTGCGGAAAAGTTTTCTGAACGAAACCGCATCAATGCGATAAGGCTACCATATCGAACCTAACGGCTATCTTATCTCTAAGTCGTAATCCACACTGCGTGAGGGCGAGCGCAAGGTATCTCGTCCGTCATTCACATTAGTCCCTATGAAATCACTTTGTACGGCCCCAGCGCCACTGTCGCGCACTTCCGACCGACAACCGCACATCCGTGATACTTGTAGGCTACGCTATCCCACACGCAAAACAGATTCTTCGACTCTACCTCATATAGGGTTGTTGCTTGGAAGCCGAAGAACAAGTTGCAAGCTTAAGCCAGTGAACTGATCAAACGCAATTCCTATTATAGACGTCCTTTTAGTTAAATTGGCCTCTGAACTATGACCACTGCTAAGACCGACGTCATAGTCGGCGACGGACCAAGCGATGGAGCGATCGCGATCGCTCCATCGCTTGTCCGTCGCTTGCCAATCGCTCTCGGTCGAGCGATTGGCAAGCGATTGCGCAATCGCTTGCAAAGTGCACAAGCGACGGGCGATTGGCCCCGCCCCCAATCAGTCGGCTGCGGTATCGATCGAGCAGAGCCATTGCCCGTCGCTTGTGCACTTTGCAAGCGATTGCGCAATCGCTTGCGCTTATGCACTTTGCAAGCGATTGCGCAATCGCTTGCCAATCGCTCGACCGAGAGCGATTGGCAAGCGACGGACAAGCGATGGAGCGATCGCGATCGCTCCATCGCTTGGTCCGTCGCCGACTATGACGTCGGTCTAATAACGCATTGTCACTCTCCAAGGCTGGTGTCAGAGTCCGCGATCTGTCGCAGGTTTCCCACTGATTTTCGCGATTTGCGCGATTCACGCGACGGGTCACGGAAATCACAAGTGCCGATCAATACTGCAAGGTGTTCTCCAATCCTGCCGCCACTTCTGCTTGATAGTGATGGCTGAATGACGACTGCTCATGATTCCACTTGTTTCATATTCAGTGTTTCAAATGTTCACACACTTGCAATTTTTGCGATCCGTCGCAGGTTTCGCGCAAATCGCGAAAATCGCGAAAATCGCGAAAATCAGCGAAATCAGCGACCGGAATCGCGGACTCTGACACCCCGCCCTCCATACTCTCGGTAAATTTCAACGGATATTTCGACACCTTAGTTTTCCCCACTTCCGGGACTTTGAATGAGCTGAATTTTCCCAACATAAAAACGTCCTTGAATTTCCAAAAATGTTCCACAATGACGGCAAGGGTACTAGTAAAACTAAGCCAGAACTAGGGCACGTTCATCAATGATGAGACATTGAGAATGGGAATTCGAAGCTATGACCATATCGATATCTCACCATAATCGAACATCAATTCATATTAAAAGAAATGTGAAAAAAACAAGAAAAAGTTGTAAGACAAATACCGTGAGACAACCACAACAAGATCGGAGGTATACACCGAGATGCTCGCCTCTTTGAAAAAATTTCCCGCGCGCGCACGTTCAAATATACGTAGCACTGGAGCGAGCATTCAACTAGCTAGAGTGATTGGAGACACTGCAATTTCGTGCCTGTGTACGTTTATGCCCCCTCTTGTGATGTGTGTTTGGGATCGATGTATAAAGTAAACCAACCTCTTCTGCCGTAGGTGAAGTCGGCGTTCGTAGAGCTGCTTATGGTGGTTCAGTGAATATATTCTGAGAGGCAGATCATAAATCGCACACAGCTAGACATGAATACCACTTTGAGATATTCGTGGCGTTGACCACTTCGCACAATCTCAAACTTGGGTAATTAAACTTTATCTGGCTTCAACATAACGAAAAACATGAGAACATAACATCGCTAACGTGAGGATGACAGTTAGACCCGACTACTCTTCAGAAATCATGAATGCGAGTTGAATTGAACTCGGAAGGATCAATTGGAAACAAGTAACTAACAAATAACTAACTCTTCTAGCAAATGGACTTCTGCTGCAACAATTTCATCATGCCAGAGAATAAGGAGCGAGCATAGATTCAAGACATCCATACCCAGTATTCATACTATCAAGGAAGAACAAATTGGACGCGAAAACAATTGAACAAACATATCCCCATAGGCCTCTGAACTAACTTCAATGATGAACAAGGATGACGGGGAAAACAATTTGCGATAGACCATAGGGGGGCTAGCCCAACATTTCTAGACGAATCAATCAAACGATATCGATGAAATGGCAAGACACAACTTCCATGTTATGAAAATCGATGCATTACATACTGTTCGTGCACAAGGCATTTTCAAGACATTTGGTCCGACTTACATTTGTAAGGCACTAATGCAAAGGCACTAACGAAACAAGATAGCCTGAAGGGCGAGATCGAACTGGAATTCATAAAAGGAATGCGTCAAGAGAAAAGGGGTGCGCTGAATCGCAAAATACTAGAGCAAAATCAAAAACAATAAAGATGAGGATAGAAGGGGCTGATGTCGTGGCGAGAACGAATTATTGCGGCAGAGACAACCTTTTATATGACCGTTGGCGCGCGATCTTCTATTGATCGGTGATCTGCTTGTCGGTGATCTGCTTGTCGATGAGTGCTGACTGTTCAGCACATTGGGGCCTCTCGAGAAAATCCCAGTGACGGATGATCGTTATGCACTGCTGTTTCTCCTCTGGGAGCACACAAAGGGCGCTATGGTGGGATGAAGATCCACAGTATTCGCATTTGCTGGAGACGGTGCATTGCTTATCACACAGTCCCAGGCAAACTTCGCACAAAGCAGCCTCAGCCAGTATTTGCTTTCGTTCTTCGACAGATTTATGCTTATAACATCTGTCGGAGTCGTGTTCTCCGACAGTGCAACAGAAGGAACATTTTGGGGCGATATGCTTATCCCGAACAAGAAGAGTTCTTTTTCTTCCGAATGTTCGATCCTTGATCGATTCCAGTTCAGCTAGTCTGCGACGAGCTAAGGCAATCTTCGCTTGGTTCGGTTTCCTCGTAATCCTCGAAACTTAGTCCTTCTGAATCCGATCTAGACGTGTGGACAGACTTTTGAATTTGTATCATAGCATTTATCTGTGAGTCGAGTAGCAGTTCCGTATTGGTCTTTTGTTCTTCAATTAACTTCGTAAGCTTCACGTCGATATTTCGTACGCACTTCTCAACTCTGTCCATCGTAGCAGTCAGATTGTCTAGTTTATTCTCGATCTCGAGGCTCCCCCTCGGGAAATCCAATAACGCGCGGATGTGGCCGAGTTGTTCCAGCACGACATTTTCTTTTGGGAACTCTATGAAACATTCGACTTGGAACTTTGACATTTCTGCGAGAAGGTCGTTGATGTGTTGTATTTCTTTCTGGAGAATTGTGTTGTTTACGGTGCGGGAGTTTTCCCTCTTTTCTTTTCTTTGCTTGGTTTCGAATGCCTGCTTGCTAGACTTCTTTGCTTCTCCAGCTTGTATCATGAGATGATAAAGTTCCCAAAGAATGTTTCCTAGTTGATGATCTTCGATCATCTTTTGCTTAGTTACACCCAGTTGATACGTGAGGTCTGCAATGGTCTGGTAGAGTGCTTTGTCTGGATCTTTCTCATTCAGCTGTAATCGTATCTGGTCTACTAGTTTCTGGATGCGATCAACATTAGCAATATTGTGAGAGATATCATCATAGATTAGATCGAGACGACGTTGCAATTCCTTTTCTTCAAGGAGAGTGCGGGCGTTATCGTTAAGCGACTTCAACAGATCTGCAGCGGCTTGCTGACTTGTGGCACTCATCCTAGAATAAGTCTGTATGATTTGCGAACTAACTGTATTTACATCGTACTCGTTCACGTTGTATGGGTAATTGTTACAGTCTCGTTTTGCTCGCAATTCATATCTGTTGGCCGTGCCCCTTGGTGGATCGGGTCTCACTGTAACGTCTGTCTGCTGATCTAACGAGATATTTTGTGTAGCTGGTGGTGTATTTCTTGTGTTTTGACCGTCATACAGTTCCAAAGGGACAAGGGCCGTTGTTGGCCTAATGACAATGTGTCTATTGGGTAGTAGGAGCTCTACTTTCCGGATGTGATCGTCTTGTGACGGAAGCAGTTTGAGGATCTTTGCAAGTTTCCAGCTATTGCGGGGTTGGACAGGGTCTTGCAAAAGTACTATTTGACCTGTCTGAGGGGTAGTGTTTGTCGTGCGTCCTTGTTTAAGTAAGCGTGCATGGTGTTCTCGTAAGGACTTGAGGTAGAGGTCACTCCAGAGGGTCCAGAATTTTTCTACCAAGGCGCATGATGAATGAAGGGCTTTCTCAGCATCTAGTCTTGTCTGTAATGATGCGAGTTCTTCGGGAGGACGAAACTGATCAGTGTTTATGCTGTTTGTGTCCCAATTGTATGTAACTATGAGGTTATTTTGCAAGAAGTCAATGGGCCTGATGGGCGTCAGGTCTTCGAGATCTGTTTCTTGGTATGTGAGAGGTCTGCTATTTAAGCATCCTTCAATTTCTGTTAGAATTGTAGACATACTGTCTATCGAGACGGATCTTTTCCCGAGTGTTTTGAGGAGTGACCTTTTAATGTCTTTGATAAGTCGTTCATAGAATCCACCCTTCCAGGGGGCGTATGGTGTTATTCTTTGCCAACGTATGTGAGAGTTTGCTAGGAAGGATTGGACTTCGTCTTCAATGCTCAAGTTGTGTCTTCCGTCTTCTAAAATTTGTTCGGCTAACATGAAGGTAGGGGCGTTATCACATGTTACTGATGACGGTATGCCTCGTCTTGCTATAAATCTTCTAATTGCGTTGAGAACTGATGTTGTAGAGGCATCGCTTAGCAGTTCAAGATGGATAAGTCGAGTTGTTGTACATGTGAATATAGAACCGTAAGCTTTAGTGCTGATATTTTCGGAGTTCTTAGTTTTTAGTGGACCGAATAGGTCAAAGCCAACGTGTTTGAAGGGTCTAGAACGGATCACTCTCCGCTCTGGAATATCTGCCATTGGAGGGTAGCGAAACGGGAAGTTGTTGAATCGTTGGCAAGGAACGCAAGTTCTCAATAGGCGCTTGACCTGCTGCCTTAGGTGTGGTATCCAATATTTGGACCGAACTTCTGCAATTGTGTGTGCTGTGGATCTGTGCAAATTTCCATGTGCTTGGAGAATGATGAGTTTCGCCAAATCTGTGTTTGGGGCTATGAAGACTGGGTTCTTGGCATCTTCTGGTAGATGGCTTTTTCCTAGTCTTCCCCAGCATCTCCAGATCCCCTTGTGGTCTTGCTGGATGTTCAACTTGTTTTGAGTACTCGCTTCGCGAGTACTTTTGAACTGGTTTTGATGCATTAGTACGATGGTATGATGAGCATTACGCATCTCTCCAGCTGTGATGTTCGTGTTCGTGGGTTCTCCGTGGATAGTTATCTTGTCTTTGATTCGTAAACGTGTGTTTTGGGGTAAATTTTGGGAAATTTTCCAGATGAAGCGTAGTGCCCACGCTACTGGTGCGTTCCAATTTTTTCATTGAACTGAATCTGTCCCATGGAAATGTGTTTGATTGATCTGTTGTGATGTGTAGGATGCTATTTTCCTGCGGAAACTCAAAGATTCGCGTTTCCGGAGGCCACTTTTCTGGATTTTCCTTTAGGAAGTCGGGTCCTTCCCACCAGATGTGACTTTGAAGCTCTTTGGCTGTTAATCCACGGCTTGCGCAATCTGATGGGTTTGATGTTGTGCGGATGTATCCGAAGTGTACAGTGATGTTGTTGTTGTTGAACTCTTCAACTATGTTTTTTATTTCTTTTATTCTGTTGTTCACTAGTACACCCAGCGATTTTGACGCACTATTAGCGTTCTTGATCCAGTTCAGTGCTATTTCTGAGTCTGAGAAGAGATAAACTGCCTTTGAGGTAGTGACTTCTCGCAACTCTTTATAGGACGAAAGGGTCAGTCTGGCTGCTAGGGTAAGTGCATTCAATTCGAGCTTTGGTATGGTGTGGTTTCCTTTCAGTGAAGGTAGTTTGGTCTTCGCGATCAGCACTTTACACTGATCTTTGTGTTTTATGTATACGCACGCAGCCATTGCTATGTTACTTGCATCACTGAATGCCACGAGTTGGTGGGTAGTACCCTTGTTTATTAACTTGCGCGGGTGTTCTCTGTAAAAGTCTGTTATGGAGGCACACAAGTTTCTCCATTGAATCTGATCCTCTTCCTGTAGAGGGTCGTCCCAGTTGTAATTCTTTTCCCAGAGACTTTGAAAGAAGTGCTTATTTCTTATCATGAGCGGCGATAGCCAACCGAGGGGGTCGTAGATGGAAGCGTTCGCGTGGAGGACTGTTCGTTTTGTGATTATATCAAGAGGCTTGATAGCGCATTTTATGACAAGTTTGTCTGTATCAGTCTTCCATTCAATACCGAGAACCTTCACGGTCGAGTTGTTTGCCTTGTCTTCGGTTTCGAGTGCGTTCATGACAACCTTGTCATTGGAGATGTATTCCCTCATGTTCATTTTCATGGAATTGAAAATTTCTTTTGTGTGTTTATATTGCGTTATGGCTTCTTCTGCTGTCTCTGCTGTCATTATGAGGTTATCCACGTATAGGTTGTTCTTTATCTGTGTCGTGATTTTCGGATTGAATGAGGAATTTTCCAAGTGGAATTGAATAGTTGCCGCTAAAAGGAATGGCGAAGAATTAAGTCCGAAGGTTACACGGGTGAACCTGTACGTGACTAAATTGTGGTTAAATGGAGGTTGTGTGATGTCGTGTACCCAAAGGAACCTTGTGACATCGCGATCGTTTTGATGCAAATGTACTTGCAAGAAGGCCTTTTCTATATCAGCTATGGTGGCTATTTTTCCCACTGTGAATCTCATAAGCATGCCGGTAATGTTGGGCATGATGAGTGGGCCTTGATACAATACATCGTTCAGTGAAGGTTTCCCTCTAGGGTGTGCGGAAGCGTCGAAAACCACACGTTTGGGTGTCGTCGCCTTTTCAGGTCGATTTATGACTTGATATGGGAGATAGTGAATTTTTCTTTGGGGGTTGCTGTTGATTTTTTCTGGCACTTGTTCAATTATGCCCTGTTGTAACTGTTGTTGGAAGATATCATCGATCTCTCGCAGTTCGTCTATTGGATACTGTTTTAGTAAGTTCCGAAGTCTCGCGACGGCCATGGCTTTGTTGTCGGGTAAATCAGCATGGTTTTCTTTCCATGGCAGCCTGACATAGTAGCCTTCCGGTTTTTTGACTATTGTTTCCTTGAATGACTTGATTACTTTTTCGTTCAGAGCTTGTTTTTCTGTTTTTTCCGGGCCTGTGTATTCGCTTGTTCCTGCTGATTCAATGGCCCAATAACGATCCCAGATATCTCTTTCTTCTTGTGCCACAAGTGTCTGTGTTGTGGGTGTGCCTATGGGTTGCGGTTTATGCGACTGTTTGCCAGATATCATATGGCCAAATATAGTTGTGATCAGATGTAGGCCTGAAGGCAATTTACACTGTTTACTGTCGACCATTTCCCACAGGTGATCGCAGCCTATAAGGATGCGAGGTTCTCCTTGGTCCTCGGGAGTGGATGAGAGGTTGATTCCATGCTTTTGTACGTACTCCCAATCCCTTTTTGTGAGTTTCAACTTGTTGGAGGTGTTTGCGATGATTTCGTTATCAAAGAGCTCGTATGTGTGTGATGAACCTTCCTTGGTTACCAAGTTGACCTTGACTATGCGGTGTTCCTTTTGTGTGGGCTCTTCTGAACCAAAGGTTCTTATTCTCAGGGTTGCGGATCCTATTACTGGTAGCTTCATCTCATCGACGAGTTTTGCATCAATAAACGACAACTCGGAGCCGGTGTCGAGAAGAATGCGGACCTTTTGAAGTCCTCGTGGCCCTTCTACGGTGGCTGTCCCTGTTAGAAGGACCACATTGTCTATGCGACAAGTTTCACGTCCAGTCACTTGATTCACTTGTGTTTCCTCTTCGTTGTGTTCATCAACGATTCCGGTGTTATTATCAAGAGTGATGACATTTTGCACTCCGTGTGGAGAGATGGTTTGTGTGGGTCCTCTTCTTGGTATTGTTCTTGCCGGTGCGTTGGTATAGTTGGTGCGTCTGGGTTGGGAAGCAGGTCTAGGTCCTAAAGGAATAGGCTTTGGTGTTGGTGTCCCTTCGCGACATAGCGTGGAGGAGTGGTGCTTCTGTCCGCACCTGAAGCATCCTTGGCTCCTGCAGTCTGCAGTTTTGTGATTTGTTTTAGCGCAGTTGAGACACATTTGATTCCTGATTAGGAATGCGACCCGTTCTGTGGCAGGAATTGTTCTGCAATCTTTCGATATGTGATTTGTTCGTTTGCAGTATATGCACGGCTGAAGAGTACGCTCTATGGCCTTTTCTTTGAAATGCTGTGGTATTTTCGGTCGGTTGGTATGATCATTGAGAATTCTTTGTGACTGCTCGACTTTATCTTTGAGCTCCAGAATGCCAGAGAGATGAGCGTACAAGATTTGCCATGTCCAAATGGCTGGGTTTTCTAGTTGCTCGCGTTTCTCCAGTGCTTTCAACTGGATGCTAGGTTCAAACTTTTTCAGAACCATATTCAGAAGCATTCTATGATTGGTATCTTGTCCTTTGGTAGATAATTGTGCCATTATTGCAGATATCTGATCTAGCAGCGAGATTTGCTGCGCGGTGGAAGAACCTGTTGCAGTTGTTTTTTCTAACTGGGCGAAGAGCTCCTCTATGATCGAGCTGTCCTGACCGTACTTGTGCTTCAAGGCTTCTATGACTAGGGGATAGTTGTCTTCGCTTATCTGATATCTGCTCGCCACTTGTCGAGCTTCTCCTGTTAAGGTTTGCAGTAAATAGTTGTATTTCATCATGAGTGGTATGGGTTGATCTTCGATATTTGCTTTAAATACGGCCCAGAATGCATCCCATTCTCTCTTGTTGCCTGAGAATCTTGGTATTTGAAGGCGTGGGAGCAATCCCTGCGCTTGTAGAGAAGAAGCGTGTGACATAGGGGTTCGTTGCCCTGAGGTTTGTAATGTACTTTCAGCCAAGATGCGGTGTCGGCGTTGTTCTAGTTCGCCGTTTCTGCTTATACGTGTAGTAATTTCTGTTTGCTTTTCACTTAGTTTTACCAGTGCATCTTCAGCGTTACTTATCGTAGTGAACGCCGTATCTGTATATTCTTCGTACGAACTTTGTTCCGTAGTTTGTTCTTGTGCTTCCAGCTTGTTGAATACTTCTTCCATGCCTAACTGGGCTTGTTTGAGGGATTCTAAAAGCTTTTCAATGTTCGTTATGTGTGTGATGATTGTGGCTTGTTTGCCTTTCAAGATATCTGTTGTTTCGTCCTCGGATTCTAGGTTTGGTATGTTGAAAGCGGTGAGCGGTTTCGACCTTTCTATTAGGTCTTCTAGGGACTTGGTTGTTTTGGTGATGCGGGCTTTCCAGGATCTGAAGGGTGCCATTGCGGACGGTGTTTGGAATTACCCATACAACGAGTACGAGCGCTTGATTGGATAATTGATAATGTACCTTAAAGGCTGTGTAGAGAATCCCTCTTTTTTAACTGCACGCGCAAGTGTGAGACCAGAAAATCTGAATAAACGAGTCAATATTTCTCGGTGTGGCTAGGAACGAAAACTTGAGGACTACCTTTTTGAAATGCTTCACCGACTGAAACGATGTGCGACTTGTAATAGCTGACCGTATGACCACCGCTAAACAAGATAGAGTCGGTATGTGTGTATCTAGTGGATAATAATGTTCTGTTTTGCTTAGTTGTTGAGTATTGTAAAGGAGCAACAAGTAAGCAATGAAATCAACGAAAAAGGTAAAATGAATGTAAAATGTGAATCAGCAAAAGAAATGTATGAAAGAAAAAAACTTGTAAAACTTGTAGAACAAATTGATCAATTGTGTCTGCACTGAAGGATATCTTGTGTGAAAAGTGTGATTTTTTCGACTAGTTGTCTGTTTGATTCGATCAATTGTGCGTGGAATTTTGTGCTCTGGGAGGATCCAAATCAATAGTGTGTGTGTGAAAGACTGGTGTGTGATAGACTGTGTGTTGACCGTTCGATCCCGGACCCCCCGCGAACTGAAAGAACACATGACCCGATGCACCGAAAACTATGTGTACGTTTATGCCCCCTCTTGTGATGTGTGTGTTTGGGATCGATGTATAAAGTAAACCAACCTCTTCTGCCGTAGGTGAAGTCGGCGTTCGTAGCGCTGCTTGTGGTGGTTCAGTGAATATATTCTGAGAGGCAGATCATAAATCGCACACAGCTAGACATGAATACCACTTTGAGATATTCGTGGCGTTGACCACTTCGCACAATCTCAAACTTGGGTAATTAAACTTTATCTAGCTTCAACATAACGAAAAACATGAGAACATAACATCGCTAACGTGAGGATAACAGTTAGACCCGACTACTCTTCAGAAATCATGAATGCGAATTGAATTGAACTCGGAAGGATGATTAATTAGTGACAACTAACAAATAACTAACTCTTCTAGCAAATGGACTTCTGCTGCGACAATTTCATCATTGCCAGAGAATAAGGAGCGAGCATAGATTCAAGACATCCATACCCAGTATTCATACTATCGAAGGAAGGACAAATTGGACGCGAAAACAATTGAACAAACATATCCCCATAGGCCTCTGAACTAACTTCAATGATGAACAAGGATGACGGGGAAAACAATTTGCGATAGACCATAGGGGGGCTAGCCCAACATTTCTAGACGAATCAATCAAACGATATCGATGAAATGGCAAGACACAACTTCCATGTTATGAAAATCGATGCATTACATACTGTTCGTGCACAAGGCATTTTCAAGACATTTGGTCCGACTTACATTTGTAAGGCACTAATGCAAAGGCACTAACGAAACAAGATAGCCTGAAGGGCGAGATCGAACTGGAATTCATAAAAGGAATGCGTCAAGAGAAAAGGGTGCGCTGAATCGCAAAATACTAGAGCAAAATCAAAAACAATAAAGATGAGGATAGAAGGGGCTGATGTCGTGGCGAGAACGAATTATTGCGGCAGAGACAACCTTTTATATGACCGTTGGCGCGCGATCTTCTATTGATCGGTGATCTGCTTGTCGGTGATCTGCTTGTCGATGAGTGCTGACTGTTCAGCACATTGGGGCCTCTCGAGAAAATCCCAGTGACGGATGATCGTTATGCACTGCTGTTTCTCCTCTGGGAGCACACAAAGGGCGCTATGGTGGGATGAAGATCCACAGTATTCGCATTTGCTGGAGACGGTGCATTGCTTATCACACAGTCCCAGGCAAACTTCGCACAAAGCAGCCTCAGCCAGTATTTGCTTTCGTTCTTCGACAGATTTATGCTTATAACATCTGTCGGAGTCGTGTTCTCCGACAGTGCAACAGAAGGAACATTTTGGGGCGATATGCTTATCCCGAACAAGAAGAGTTCTTTTTCTTCCAAATGCTCGATCCTTGATCGATTCCAGTTCAGCTAGTCTGCGACGAGCTAAGGCAACTTCGCTTGGTTCGGTTTCCTCGTAATCCTCGAAACTTAGTCCTTCTGAATCCGATCTAGACGTGTGGACAGACTTTTGAATTTGTATCATAGCATTTATCTGTGAGTCGAGTAGCAGTTCCGTATTGGTCTTTTGTTCTTCAATTAACTTCGTAAGCTTCACGTCGATATTTCGTACGCACTTCTCAACTCTGTCCATCGTAGCAGTCAGATTGTCTAGTTTATTCTCGATCTCGAGGCTCCCCCTCGGGAAATCCAATAACGCGCGGATGTGGCCGAGTTGTTCCAGCACGACATTTTCTTTTGGGAACTCTATGAAACATTCGACTTGGAACTTTGACATTTCTGCGAGAAGGTCGTTGATGTGTTGTATTTCTTTCTGGAGAATTGTGTTGTTTACGGTGCGGGAGTTTTCCCTCTTTTCTTTTCTTTGCTTGGTTTCGAATGCCTGCTTGCTAGACTTCTTTGCTTCTCCAGCTTGTATCATGAGATGATAAAGTTCCCAAAGAATGTTTCCAAGTTGGTGATCTTCGATCATCTTTTGCTTAGTTACACCCAGTTGATACGTGAGGTCTGCAATGGTCTGGTAGAGTGCTTTGTCTGGATCTTTCTCATTCAGCTGTAATCGTATCTGGTCTACTAGTTTCTGGATGCGATCAACATTAGCAATATTGTGAGAGATATCATCATAGATTAGATCGAGACGACGTTGCAATTCCTTTTCTTCAAGGAGAGTGCGGGCGTTATCGTTAAGCGACTTCAACAGATCTGCAGCGGCTTGCTGACTT